GATTTATATTGTCTTTGACTTCTTGTTGGAACTGGGGGGGGGGGGGGTAGATGGACAAAAATAGCCTTACGTTAATGAATGCACGAAAAACGGTCAAACGGCACTAAATCGAATGAAAAGCTCAATTTGGTCACTTGATCAAATCGGGATGAAGTCAGATTCGGATTCCTTTTAAAACTCCGATTAAAGATGAACAACAGAAAATTGAAATTTGAATGACGAACTGCTTAAAATTTGCTCCCATGAAGCCTGGGGAAAACTATGCATGGTATCAAAGTCATGGAAATAATGTATAGTGGAAGTGTAGAATTCCTTCGGAATTCCGTCGTGTCTGCTGGTTTGGGGCAGGGGTCCCACTTGAAGAGCATGGAATCACTCGTAAATTTTCACACATCACCGGTTCAGTCTCCAAAGACGCCTGAAAGGGCCAGGCCTGCTGTCAAATTTCTCTGATCTTTTCTGATCTTCATGATGGGAGAGAGGGTGGTTGTAGCGAACCTTTTTGAATTTACGCGCCACGGAACTGGACGCTTCGCGCGCTCGCGCGCTGCTGGGCGCAGCTGGCGCGGCCAGTGGTGGAAGTTAGAAGTTGCAAGTGTGGCGGGTGTACTAACTTTCGTTGGTTTTGAGCTACTCGTTTCTCGCTGAGAAGTTAACGTTCTGTCGGCGTTGACGGCCTTTTACTTCACTGTGAGTCGTATAGTTAGAAAACAGTAGTGAAGTGTGCATGCCATTTAATTGGTTACGTCTCTTCCGGCGCACTACTTCAGTTAGATCTCTATTTGACATAACCCCAACACACATGTGACTCCGGTTCCGGTTTCACCATTTCATTCATTAAACAATGGGATATTCCTGTTTCGTTACCATGAGAGAGACGTAGACACATTATTTTTTGTTTCTATGATTCTTATCAGCAACACTTTATTTGCTCGTAATACTTCTGTAGTCTTCACAAATAGACCGTTGCGCCCGGAACATGGCAACACCGCATATCGGATTTTCTTTGCTCGATTTGGAGGCTTTAGAGTGATTGTCAACAAAATTACACATCACCAATCGAATCCTTAGAAAATTCACTATGTC